AAAACCCTGTAAAAAAAAAAAAAAAAAAAAGTATAATAGATAATGTGAAATAGGAAGAAAAGGTCCAAAGGGGAAGGGAAAGAGAGCAGTAGGAGAAAGGAAAAAAGGTAAAGGAAAAAATATGAGAATAGGAAAAAATGGAAACAAAGTCTGTAAATAGGGAAGGGTAGAGAGGTTATGGGAGGGTAGGAGAATGGGGGAATAATAAGAACCAAGATACACCATGTAAAGGTACAAATTCCCAATGATGAATGTCTTCATATTGTACACCTAAAATGTACCGATAAACTTAATAAATTTTAAAAAATAAAAAATAGCCGGGCATGATGGTGCACACCTGTAATCCCAGTACTCAAAAGGCTGAGGCAGGAGGATCACTGTGAGTTTGAGACTAGCCTGGGCTACATAGTGAGTTCCAGGTCACTCTCAACTACGTAGTGAGACCCTGTCTCAAAAAACCAAAAAATAAGAAATAAGTAATAAAAAATAAAAAAGGGCTGGGGTTACAGCTAATCAAGAAAGCCTTGGATTCAATCTCCAGTATCCTCCCCGCAAAAGATCCCAACTCAAAATAAATAAAAATGAAATAAAATGATAAAAATGCAAACCAGATCATCTCACTTTTTTGCTTAAAATGCAGGTCTCTGGGTTTGATCCCCAGTACCACTACAACCAAGACAAAAAACAACAAAAAAGGAAATAACTTCTCAGTGAACTTCCGGTAACTCTCCACTCTCCACACAGGACCTAAAAAAAGCTCTATTTGATCTTGCCCTGTGCCTGACACCATGCTCCTAGTAGTGTTCAGGCTATTTTTGGTTTTCTTTCTGTTCCTGACCACATCCAGCTCATTCCTGCCTCAGGACCTTTGCTTGTACTGCTCCCCTTTGCCTGAAATGGTCTTCCTCTAAATCTTTTTTTTTCTCCTGGTACTGCAAATTGAACTCAAGTCCCTGCACTTACCAGGCAGGTATGGTGCCACTGAGCTACATCCCTATTCCCCTCCTCTAGATCTTTTTTTTTTTTTTTTTTTTTTTTTTTTTTTGGTACCCGGGATCAAACTCAGGACCTTGGCACTCTTGAAGCAGGTGCAGGACCACTGAGCTAACTCCCTGGAGTACCCCCCGCTCTAGATCTTAACATGAAGGTCCTTTATCATCATTCAGGTCTCAGCTCCACTGTCTGCTCTTTAAAGACCATCCTATCTAAACCTGTCACCTTGGGCTGGACAGCTCAGTGGCAGAGCTCTTGCCCAGCATGCATGAAACCCTGGTTCAATCTTCATGGGTATCCCCCACCAAAAAAAATATCCCCAAAATAAAAAAACTAAGGCTGGGCATAGCACATACACTTGTAACCTCAGTACTCAGGAGGCTGAGGCAGGAGGATGGCTGTGAGTTCGAGACCAGCCTGGGCTACATAATGAGTTCCAGGTCAGTCTCAACTACATAGTGAGACCCTCTCAAAAAACCAAACAAACAAAAAATAACAAATGAATGATGAAACTTTTAAACTTGTCACCAATAGCAAAGTAAGTATACAGAATTCTATCTAAATACTAACAGGAAGGATATCAACTAACAAAAAATTATCTATTGGAGACTAGGTAGACAGGTACAGGAGCGAAGTGAGAGTTCTGTGTATCTGTATATCTTTTTATACTATTTAACTTTTTTCCCAGTACTAGAATTGAACTCAGGATCTTACACATGATAGGGAAGTACTCTACCTGAAAGATTCCCAGCGTTTTTAAAATTTTGAGATGGGGCTTGCTAAATTCCAGTACTGACCTGGAACATATGATCTTCCTGCTCAGCTTCCCAAGTAGCTGGGATTATACGTATGTACCATGGCATTTGGCTTTTTTTTTTCTTAACCATATGAATTTATTATCTACTCAAAAATGAGACAAATAGAAGGAGAACCACACCTGCTCCCGACCCAGCCACCATCGCTCAAGCTCCGGGAAGGTAGGCCGGCCCCGATCCACCGCGGGAAGGAGAATCACACCTGCTCCCGACCCAGCAGCCATTGCTCAAGCGCCGGGAAGGTAGCCACGCGGGCGCCCCTGAACACCCATAAGCCCCCCACACACACTCTCAGACCTCCTGACTGTGCAAGTCTTTGGACCCACTCTGCAAAGACAGAGGTGGTCATCAAGGGTATTTTTCTGAGTTCCCAACTTTGAACATCTTTAAAGAAAGGGCGTGGGAAACTTGTAATAGAACATTGCGGAGTTCAACCATTCAGAAGGATGGGGAACTCAATCTGGGCCTTGCAGCCCGAGGTCAGTCAGCGTCATGGGGTTCAGCAATCAGCTGGTCAGTGTCCAAGTTGTGCTTGATCTTAATGTGTTGCTGATTGTATCAGTTGGGGTAAAGCATTGCCATTGATTTGATGAGCTGTTTTTTCTGATGTTATGAAGATGAGAATGTCCGTGGGTCATTAGAGACACAGAAGCTAGGGTGCAACTATATCAGGAAGATTTGGGTGATAATCCAGAGGTTAAACCAAGGACAGTCCAACAACAAAAATTAAAATGAGAAAACACTTAAGTAAGACACAAGGACAGACTTCCAGTTCACCAATGGCAAACAGTAGGGCAAATGAGGGTGAAAAGGCCGATAGTGAACCACCAGGACACCCTGAACTCAAAGTGCAGGAAGTAACAAAACAGATCAGTCAGGCTCTAGAAAAATTCAAAACAGAAATAATTTCCCAGATAACCATAGAGATGGTGAGCAAAATGGAAGTAGTGATTCAAGACTCTAGAGCAGAAACTGACAAAAAAATAGATGAGCTCAGGACCACAATAGAAGCCATGAAGGTCTAGCATAAGAAAGAAATGGAAAAAATAAATGCCCAACATAGGAAAGAAATGGAATCCATAAAACAGATTCAAACAGATATCCAGGAGATTAAACACTCTATTGAAAGTTTACGCAACAGAATAAAAGAATGCGAAGATAGGCTCTCAGATATAGAAGATAAGATTGCAGTCAGTGACCATGAAAAGAGAGGTCTCTTAAAAACAGTAAGAGATCATGAGAAATCGATCCAACAACTCCTAGATGATGCAAAGAAGAATAACATAAGACTGATAGGAATACATGAAGTAGCAGGAGAAAATACAAATGACTTTAAAAAGCTGTTTGCAGAATTAATGACAGAAAACTTCCCAAACAGAGGGGAAGAATTTGACATTCAGATAACTGAGGCATATAGGACCCCAACTAGCTACAATCAAAAAAAATCTACACCTAGACATATAATAATCAAGATCCCAGAAACCCAACAGAAGAACAAAATACTACAAGCAGTAAGAGAAAAGAAACAAATCACATACAAAGGAAAGCCCATCAGAATCACAGCAGACTTTTCAACACAAACCCTTGGGGCAAGGAGAGCCTGGAATGAGATATTTCAAGTACTAAAAGAGAACAACCTCCAACCTAGACTGATGTATCCAGCAAAACTCTCTTTCAAAATGGATGGGGAAATAAGACACTTCCACGACAAAGAACACCTGAGAAACTACATGAATACCAAACCAGCACTACAAGCAATTCTAAACAAGATCCTAGAAAAAGACAATGAAGGCAACAACACCATGAGGCCCAACAGAGCAAATCAAATAGGCAAGGCAAGAAATTAAAAGGAGAAGGTGAAAAAGTAAAAAGAGTCAACAAAAGGCCAATAACATGTCAATAATAAGTCAGTACATATCAGTTATAACCAGCAATGTCAATGGCCTCAACTCACCAATCAAGAGAAATAGACTGGCAAAATGGAATAAGAAGCAAAATCCAACAATATGTTGTATACAAGAAACACACCTAGTGCAAAAAGAAGCCCATAGACTGAAAGTGAAAAGATAGAAAACAATTCTCCATGTGACAGGAGCCCAGAAAAAAACAGGGGTAGCAATCTTATTTGCAGACAAAGTAAATTTCAAACCAAAACTGAATCTAGTATTATTGATGTAGGACAGTACTGTATCATACCTCTATGAATGTAAAATATCTAGTACCTGCTTTATGATACATAGTAGGGACCGTGCTTTATCAGAACTACATTTAATGATATTACTCTAGAATGTTTTCTTTCCAGATGATGATTAAGAGGCTAATAGAAAAAATGGTGCCAGGTACCACAGCAGAAACAGAACTTGGCTGTTGTCTGGATATTATTATTATTATTATTTTTTTTTTGATGGAATGTGCTGAATGTCTATAATTTTGTTCAGATGACTGCAGAACCTGGAAAAGCTGTTGCTGCTATCGATGCATAACATACTATTATTAGTCTTTATATACATATATATATATACACAGACACACACACATATATATATATAAATTGAATTTTGGGAAACTTTAACGGTGCTGCCAACTTTGGAAAAAGTCATCCCAATTTTCTGTATAAGAGCGAGAAGCAATTTAAATATGTTCAGGGACCATTTTCATCTCCAGAATTAAGGATTATTTTGATGTTACATCATTGCCTTTTCTCTTTTACTTTCCTTTTTAGTTTTATTTTAGGATTCCCTATTTTTAATGTTCATACAGAGATTTCTTTAACTGAAATAC